GTCGCTGGTGTCGGTGCTGCTGGAGCTAGTGGTGGACCCAGGGCTGGATACAGGGCTCGAGATGGCCGCTGGTTGGGGGATAGAATTTCTCTCCCCGGCTTCGGGCTCAGCGGGAGCCACATTTACGTTTTTCCACTTCAAGGAGCAGGGATGGGCTGTCGCCGAGGTTAGAACACTCACAAAACCAAAAGCTATTAATGGTCGATCAATGGGGGTATTATTTACTAGAAGTCCGTTCAGGAATCGCGTTGGCAGCCCCATCAGTTATATCTAGAGCATCGCAGAAAATGACTCTCTTGGGGGGGCGAGCAGAATCGACGTGCTCGTCTTGAGCCTCCCGCTTAGAGGATGCCGGGAGCGGAAGCAAGTCAGCAGCCCCGGCGGCCGCTGAATGCAGTTCCTTGCCCTCTGCGATGCGGCAGGCGTTAAACTCCTTCGCGGCCTTACTACACTGAGCAATAAAGTCGCGACTCTCCCTCTCTGACTGCGTCATGCCCAGTGCCCTATCCCGTAGTTGAAGTAGTGCTGATGCGTGCGGGTAGGACTGTATGGAGATCTGGATTCGAGATTATTATTTGCCTGCACAGGTTGCCAAGGTCCGTAACTATGAGGTAACTACTCGGGCCGCGAACCCAAGCCGGGCCGAGAAAGCTTGAAGGTCGTTAGTTATGACTTACAGGTATACAACAGCCCTTCCCCAGCTTCCGCACGTTCTTGCACCGCGAACAACTAACGTCTTGCACCCATAGACAGGTCGGCTTAAAGGCGCCTCCAGTTCTGAGGCTGTCGCTGATTGAACGAACGCACCGGGCACAAGGCAAAGCCGTGGCTCCGGGGCATGGAAGGATCTGCTTGGTGGACGCAGACATGGCTATAGGCAAGCGAGGTTACAGGCACGTCGGCCGCTGCCATATGGAGTACTTCATAATATATACAAACTACTCTTGTTGACAACTGTAGAATAATACCTATATATACTAAATACTAACTACAGCAAAAAGAAGGCCGCGTCTAACAGCGGATGACTAATCCGGAATATGTCTATGCTTAGTCATCAGACGCGCGCCTAAACGCGACGAGAAACGCGACTTTTAGATGGCCTTTTTTGCGAGCAGGGCGAGGGATGAAAACAGCCACCGTCGACGGTGACGACGAGAGAAGCACGATGGCACTGTCTTGCTCCCCCCGGCCGCTGCTGCAGGAGCTGCCCATGATGTCTGCCGCCGACCACGCAAAGCGGAAGTTCGAGGGCGGGCCCGAGACGGAGATACCAAAGCGCGTCAAGACCGGCCCGTTTGTGATGGACGACGATGACGACGACGACGATGATGATGATGTGGTGGGCGACAATGGCATATTTCAGAGTCATCCTCATCCTGATGCTTCTTCGCACAGATTGGATAACGAAAAGGCTGGACTTGAAGAGGCCGACAGCTTGTGGCAGAGAAAAGCTATAGTCTCCCAAGAAGCCTCTACCAGACCACAAGTTACAGCCGAGCAGTATACCTCCGTCTCGATCAAGACCTGCTCCGGGAAGGTCAAATATATACGACAACGGGTGAAGAAAGACCACGTTCCCTACGAGAAGCTGATTGCAGAAAGATCAGTTACCGCTGCCGGCAAGGCAACTCGAAGTTATTACGGGATTGATATACACCAGCTTATGGACGAGGCGAAACGGTTGGAGCCATCTGCCCCGGCTGCTGTCCCCTCTGTTGAAGCCCAGGGCTCTGCACCGGGTACTGCAAAGCCTGCTCACCGGCTGTGGACGGAGAAATACCGAGCTAGGAGCTTCAAGGACTTGATTGGTGACGACCGGACACACCGCACTGTGTTACGTTGGCTAAAGGCGTGGGATCCAATAGTCTTCCCGGGCCTGGCAAAGCCGAAATTGAAGAAGGACAACTTCTCTAATGACGCCGAGGAACGAGCACATCGCAAAGTCCTACTGCTTACTGGACCACCAGGTCTCGGCAAGACAACCTTGGCTCATATCTGTGCAAAACAAGTCGGATATGAGGTTCTTGAAATCAATGCAAGTGATGAACGAAGCCGCACCGTGGTGACAGGAAGGATTAAAGATGCTGTCGGAACTGAGAACGTTAGAGGCGTTACTATTGTCGAAGATGGCAAAGTTATCAGGAAACCAGGCAAGCCAGTCTGTGTTATCATCGATGAAGTCGACGGTGTCGTTGGAGGTTCTGGCGGGGGAGGTGAAGGTGGCTTCATGAAAGCACTCATCGATCTAGTACAACTAGATCAAAGGAACTCCTCTAGATCAAAAACAGACGGACAAGGCACGGGTCGGAAGGGTAAAAAGAAAGGAGATAACTTCCGGCTCCTTCGTCCGCTTATTCTGATATGCAATGATGTCTACCACCCCAGCCTTCGACCCTTACGCCAAGCTTCCATTGCGGAAATCATCCACGTTCGCCGTGTGCCGTTTGACCAGGTGGTCCAGCGCGTGAAAAGCATATTCGAAAAGGAAGGTATTCAATGCGACGCTGATGGAGCCAGGAAGTTATGCGAAACCACCTGGGGGGTGAGCGGCACCAGAAACCAGGCCCTTAGTCGTGGCACTGGCGAAGGTGATATCAGAGGCATCCTGGTGGAAGCAGAGTGGGTGGCACACAAACTTCGCTATGACGGCCTCACCTCTTCGTCTAGGTTGACGAAGCTGTGGCTGGAGCGGCATATTCTTCACAACCAGCAAGGGAGCGGGTTATCCCGTGGCCTCGGCCGTGGTGGAGCGAAAGAAATCGTCAGCCGAGTGTTTCTCGATGGAGCCGGCTTTCCACACGATCGACAGGATAAGCAAGGGTTCCAAGACCCGTTCTCCAGAGAAAAGAGCAAAGCGCCTGTCGGAGTGGCAGAGCTCCGTAAGCGCGCAGCGATCAGCCGGCTGAGTGAAATGATCGATGCTTCAGGAGAGTATGATCGCTGTGTGACTGAATGTTTCCTCACGTACCCTACCCAGACCTTCCAGGATGATACCCTTCTCTCAAAACCAAATGCCGCATATGACTGGCTGTGTTTCCATGACCAGATATCCTCGAAGGTCTTTTCAAATCAAGATTGGGAACTGAACCCCTACCTTAGCCAAGCAACAATTGCTTTCCATCACCTCTTTGCGTCGTCACACAAGTCTGAGGATGGGTCAAAGATGGACATTGATGGTGACGGGGAAGAAGAGCATCCCTTTGCTGGCCCGCGAGCAGACTTCGCCGCTTTTGAAGCTGAGAAGCAAAACCGCGCTATCTTGGTTGAATTCCAGTCTTCCCTGTCTGCTCCCTTGAATCGGACATTCCACTCTACTGAAACCGTTGTCACAGAGCTGGTGCCGAGCCTTACTCGCATGTTGGCACCGGACATAAGACCAACGCTTATAGGGAACTCCGGCGGTAAGGGAGCTGTTGCAAGCGTACGCAAGGATAGCGAGCGGGCCTTGCTTAAAGCGGCAGTAGGCATAATGCATGGGCTAGGCGTGACTTTTGAGAAGACCAAACTTGAGACTGAAGCCGGTGGATATGGAGGCTACATCTACAGGATGGAACCGTATGTTTTTTTGTCTGCTTTCATTAACAAACCAATCCATTGCTTTTCCCCCCTCCGTCCGAATGTAACATTAGCTAACCACACTCGCAGGTCCCTTGATTCTCTTAACAGTTTCTCCAAAGTCAAAGGCACCGCTCTAGCATCGGGCAGCATATCCGCACCCGTTCGATACGCAGTTCGCCAAGCACTTGACCAGGAGTATCGTAAGAGCTTGATCAAACGGCAATCAGAAGCCCAGAACCCCCACTACGGGGGCCCCGGCTCATCAAAAGGGGGCAATGGCAACGACAATGCAGATGATAATGAAGATAGTAGCAAACAGGCCAAGTCCGGTCGATCTATAGGGCCCAAGCGAGACTTCTTCGGGAGAGTTATCCAGGAGAAGCCACAGGGTAACAACTCTCTGGGCGCGGGCCCGGGGTCGGGCAAGGGAGCCGGGCCCGGCCACGACGCAAGTAAGAAGGCCAAGAAAGTATGGGTCAGTTACCACGAGGGTTTCTCAAACGCCGTGAGGAAGAAGATCACAATGACGGAGTTGCTATCCGGACTGTAACTTTACATTTTAGCGTACATAGAGCAACGTCTTAGTAGGAGATGTTTTATGACTTCTGAACGAACCATTTTTTATTCATGGTATTCATTCAACGGAGCTACAGCATTCTAACAGTACCAAGGTTCCTGTCGCACAAGGTGAATACTCGGGCTAAGTGGACGAGACCTTGCTGTAATGGCGTCTAGAACAACAACCTTGCAGCCGCAATACCGTCGAGTACCTTCGGTATAGGTACGGAGTTGGAGACGAGAATAACTAATGGGTATTTGTTGTATCTTGCATCGTTGCTGTGCGGTACTTTGTAGGTAGGCACATGATTTGGGTTGATCCTCCGAGCAGGCAGGCATTTTATGGAGTATACATGCATGATCTTAGGTTGTAATGCAGGGTAATAATAATAAACAACGTTGTATTACCGCTATTTGGCGGTGGATAATTTAGCTGCCTGGCACCCGTCCGCGTAAGCTCAATGGCAGACTTGAGACTCACTTTCATGTGTTTCGGAGTGTTATACATCGTGATATTGTTATAGTAGAGGAGGAGAGAGAATGTGGATATAGAGACCAAGTTTGAGAAACAGCACTTTTTTTTTTATTATTAATATTAAAACTAGATATCAACTACTTGTTTGCATGCAGGTAGACGAACAAAAGCAAGACCATTATCTAAATTTCCAGCACTTGATCGTTGTACAGGCTGGATCAAAAATTGGGCAAAAGAGAAGGAAAAAGAAACCCTGAAAAATAAAAGAAGCCCATCAAGAAAAGCAATAAAACAGATCAATCGATCTTAAAACAGCATTGATAATCCCCCCAGACAAACGCCAATCCAAATCTGTCCTAGGCCACCCATGGTCGTAGTAGTCGTTGATATTGAAGGGGCGACTGTAATTTCACGCCCGGTGAGCAAAGTAACTGGCTCTCGCAGCTTCGGTCGTGGTGGGTGAGATGCAAGTCGTTTGTTTTCTGGTCGTCTTCTTTGACAGCTCGGAGCTGTTTTCTTTCTGACGACGCAGGGCAGCCTTGAGTGCAGCTATGCTGGAGATTGACGAAGTGCTCATCATCGAGGAGGCGCTGGAGAAGAGCTTGTTGTCTGAGTTCTTGGCCATGCTGCTTCGTCTGGAGAAGATGGACAGTCTGGAAGCGTTGGAGGCGGTGGCAGAGGTCGACATTGTGGTATTAATGTTATATATCGGTGCTTGTATTCGGTTTGGTGAAGTCGTGGTGACTGTTTGACTGGGAGTTTGTTTTTGGTTGGAGAGCTCAGTATGTGTGTTTTATGTAGCACAGAGCAGAGGAAGAAAGACGTTTTTTGTGAGTAGTGTTCAGTCAAGTAGAGAAGATCTTGAAGCTGGTATTTATTAAGAGTGTCTTTGATTAAGAGTGGTTGTGATGGTGGAGGAGAGAAAGGGGCATAAGAAGGAGGAGGGAAGCCCCTTCTTATAGACCGCCAGACCAGGCATCTCTGGGTATCAAACGAGAAAAAATAAGCATGCTCCCACGACACTCCGGTCGTCATTCGGGATACGGCATATCACGGTCTAGCCTGGCTCTGGAAAACGCCGTCATACATCCGTATGCGTTACAAATCCATCCCAGCAATAATGCGAATCAAGATTTACGTGTGGATGGGGGCCTGCGGGACGGTCGGACTAGTGAGTTACTGGATGCTTTCATGACAAATGCAGACTATGTAAGCCTCATTAGACGCGGTGGAGCCAGGGGAGCAGGGAGCCAGCTTCCTTATTCCGAAGCACACGCCTTATCAGCTCGTCTTAGGCGCTAGCAAGCTGTTTGCCTGCTGGTTGGTGAGAGCCAGCGCCCTTGGAGCACGTCACAGCAGCGGCAGTAGACGCCCTCCCCTTAGCGCTTACTCCGTCCATGGCTGGGAGTATCGCGCCGTCAGGGGGATGAAAGGGCCCCCTCTGCCCCCTCCACGATCATCAGCATCATAGACACCATCGGCACTGGACCCTAGTCAGTTGTGTTTGATTGTCTTCTTTCGCCCGTCCTTCGATCTCCAGCTTTTCTCTCCCCCCTTTTTTTTCTCCTTTTCTCCCCTGGACTCAATTAAGGTTTGATATCTCTCGGAGTTCGAAGTCGGAATGAACTGGGTATTCCGACAGCCTTAGTCAGCAACTTTAATTCCGAAGCTAGAGCGCAAACAAAAGATGCAAACACGCCAAACTCGGAAATTCCTCGGAGTACTGAGCTTAGCTGCTTAGTCAACAAAGCGACTCCTCGACAACGTTCGCGCTTTCGTACTGGTTGATAATATTAAATCTATAAATAACATCACCATCGCAGGGACAAGGATACGAGGAGGGACCAACTCAATTGAGTCATCGGTCGTTGTTTGGTCGTTCTGGGCCGCCGCGGACAGGGAGCAACCAAAACCAGACTCCGACAGAGGAAACACTGCGGCTTCCCGATACCCATGTTGGAGGCTGGTTCAGGCAGAAATCTCCTCGTCAGGATGCGTCAGGCTGAGGAAAACAAACAGTTAATCTCGTCTGGTGACTCACTTATCCTTGGTCTAGATGGAGGGGACTGCTTATTTCTCATGCAGGCCGCCTGGTAATCTTACCTCAAGCTCAGAGTTCCTATCTGTACTATGTACAGACACGACTCCCAGCAACGCCGATCTCCTTAGGCACCAGCATTCCACCGTCACTGGTTGAACTGGCTATCACGATTCGATCCTCCAGGAAGCCATCATTCTCTACTGATTTGCATGCGAAACGACTGCGTCTCCAAGGTTAATCTACTGGCTACGGAGTACGCCCTGCCATAGGGGGTGCCGTCAGATTCTTGACAGGAATATGAATTGAGGTCTATATCTAGGGATACAATATCCCTCTAGAACATCAGTATTCCAAGAATACAGGCAGAAATGATGGCGACAGATGAAACCGCTCCCGGACCAACTTGCATTCCACCATTAGGAACCGTTCCGTCTGGGTTGGATCCTGGTTCCGAGCTACCGCTTCCTGACGTAGGAGCACTGCCTGTACCAGCTTCACTCGCAGTGGTAGTGACCGTGGCTGTAGTCGGTGAAGGAGTGCGTATTGATGTACAATACCCATTCACACCACACCTTTGGTCTTCGTTGCAGCATTCCTTCTCACAGCAACTGCCCGAGTCAGGACAGGCTCCGCTTTCACAACACTTCTCTGTTTCGCGCCTATAGCAGCTCTTCGAGGCAAGACAGCATGATTCCCCTTTACTACAGGCCCAGGAATCGTCACCGTCCGTGCAGCAGATCGAGAATAACGGGTCGTAGCATTTACCTTCTCCACAAGACCGTTTGTAGTCGGGACAACAACCTCCGTCCTTATGGCATGTGCTCGACTTGGGACAGCTTCCTCCGTCGTCGCAGCAGACTTCCTTCTCCGGGTCATAGCAGTGCTTGTGGCCGCAGGGAATCTCTCCGGAAGGGCAGCAGCCCGATGGCTCAACGCAGTCGTATCCCTTATCACAGCTCGTTCCGCGAGACTCACAGCACGTCTCAGTCGACGGGTCATAACAACCCTTCCCTCCGCAACTAATGTCTGGCTTGTTGCAGCAGCCGGTAGGCGTGCAGTTCTGACTCGTTCTGCAGCACCCTTCGCCAGTCGGGCATTCGTCTAGGAAAGTTCCATATTAGCATTCAGCCTAAGATACCGCCTTGAGTCATATTTATGCTTCAACTACTCATAATATATAAATAGAGAGCCCAAAACCAGAATTCAGCAACATACAGGAACCTGCCGGACATGATCTGGCAAACAGCAGTTTCGCTTCTGAAAAGCCTTCAAAGCCAGTCAGAGTCCCGTTTGCAGCACGCTGTGGTCGGAATTCTCCCGTCAATCGGGACATCGGCTTCACTGCAGCGAGTGGCTGGCCCTCACGCCTCGGCGTACTCGCAAACACACCGCTAGAGACAACTAGACCAAAAAGAAAGTATTTCATCGTCACGATTGACTCGCTTTCTGAGTTGCTAATCCGGGTTTTTTGGTATCTTTGGTATCAGTTACTTTTTGTGCGGGTGCGGAAGACCAGCAGCACTTTTAAGGACTTCATTTCATCGGAAGTCCCAGAACACGGCCTGTCAGAAGACTAGTTCCACAAATAAATCAGTTTTATCCTCTCCGTCGGCCATATCTTGCTCTTGTTCAAGAGGACTACGCGGGTGAGATTCTCTTGGTATAGGGTCTCTGCCCCATCACGCTCACCAGAGAATACGAGAAGCCCGTATTCACCGGCAGGCAAAAAGGCCGACCCGAGGCATCATATCTAGGCAGTCTCTACAGAGCCTCATATTATGATTGTTGAAATGCAAGGTGAAGCATTGCAATAGAAAAACACTGTTTCAATCCTCAACACCAGTATAGCTGGGTTAGACTTAATTATCATATCTCGTATGCCATAAACACGAAGAGCAACGCATAAACCTGTTTCCCCTCGCTGTCTAGTAGGTCAAACAACAGTTTTTTTTAGATGAGCATCAAACAAGTACACACTGGGTATATATATAAACAACGATCTACGCTTGCTCTCGCAATTATACACCCGTCTCGGCCCAGCCGATTTTAGGTCTCACACAAATGAAGACGGGTTCTCTTTATGCCCTCGTTAGTCTCCCCGTTATCCGCCAGTCGTTTCAAGCTCTTCTTCTTGCTCTCCTGGCTCATCGCCTTCTGCTTCTTCTTCGTCCTCTCCAAGGGTAACATGAGCTTGGAGCCATGGAAATCTATCAGCAGGACCCTCTGTAGCTCCGCATTCCATAGCATGTTATTAGGCTTGAGATCACCGTGAATAACTCCTAGGTCATGTAGCTCTCGCGTGGATCGCTCAATGTGGCTGGCCAACTCGCCAGAACGCTTGCCGACTTCTTCTCCCCCAAAGCCCATAAGGAGCATATGCCGGATAGAGCCTGCCCCATGGACGTGGTAGACCATGTCAAGATTGATAGGGCCGAGGAAAACAGGCACTGCAGATCCCTGGGCTGCGTGTAGAAAGCGATACACTTCCACCTCGCGTCGTACCTCGTTCCAGCGGAACGCTGTTGTTCCCTTGCCAAGAACAGTGTAGCCATAGCTGCGACAGGTGATTTTAAATGGCTGTCCGTACGAGCCATGTTTACCATATGGGGTGCAGTCGAGGTCAAGGTTCTCGTCTAGCTGACGATTGATCAAGCTAACGAGTTGGTCTGCACTGATAAGGTGGTGAGTGGAATTGGTGTTTCCTTGTCTATGCCGGCCAACGTTTGGACAGCTCATATCAAGCCTGGTCCCCCGTCGGAGACCAAGCAAACACTTCTGTGTACAAAAGGATTCAACGTGCTGGCGGCGTTGCTGAACTTGGCCTCTCTGGCCTCTCTGACCCGCCCCATCGCCGTGTTGGCTGGACGACGACGAGGTGAGCTCGCTCAAGTTCCTTTTTCGCCCTCCAAGATGGGCTCTGGAGCCAGAAGGTGCCTCAGGATCGGAGTCGGAGTCGGTCGGGCCTGAACCTTGTGTTTCTGTGTTCGGAGCGCAGCGGGTTTGAGACCGAGTTCTGATGCCTCCGCCGTTATCTGGAACGGTGAAAGAACCTGCAGGGGAAGAAGAAGGTATATATTCTGAGCCTGGAGGTGTTTGGCGAAGCTCCTCCTTGGGTATCTGTGATCTGACATAGTCAAGGTCTGTCTCCCACCGTAGTCCATGTCTGAGCTGGTGATTCCGCCATGTATGATCTCTAGCCGTGGACTGACAGCACATTAAACAAAAAGCGAGGACACGAGCTATGGCAGTCCATGGCCCAATATCGTCTGCATGGACATCGGTGTTAGGCTCACAGAGGAAGTAGTACAGTGTCTGCGGGTCATCTTCTGGAACGCGAAGAAAAACATAGGATATCCCATTGGTGACGTATGAATATTCTAGCCCCTCGGTAATCATAACGTGGTACTCTTGAACAAGGACAGAAGCTGATATTTTCTCTGCATTGTATTTGATCTTCTCTTCTGGTGGGATTTTCTTGATATCTCGCTGGACAACTTCTTCCCAGAGGTCCATTGGCCGTAGGCCGGAATTCAGGTATTCAGGGGGCAGCTTATGAGGTGGCTTATACTCAACAGTTGTAAGAAGAGTCGTGGTGCCTTCTTTCACTTTGTGAATGCAGAATTGGTCCGCGAAGGCACGATCAATGA